AAATATTGCAATAAAAAAAAAAAAAGAAAAGAAACTAGGTCCACGTGAGTTGGCCCACTTTCACAGTATGCCCAGAACACCTTGGAAGATTCAGAATCTGTGTCACGGCAGCATTTCCATCCCATTACCTACCCGCTGCCACTCCCAAGAAATTTTTTTTCTCAATTTGGTAAGATCTTGAACTATTCCCAAACTTCCATTACTCCCAGTGAGTCAGAAAATCAGCAGGCTGCCCCCGACTGGTTCCTGGGGAGGGGGAGGGGGCTTGGGAGAGATTCGACCAGCGTCACAGTTGTTCTCATCTCCCTCTGAGGGGACCCTACACGGAAAGCTGAAATTATGGGAATCTACCAAGTGAAGAGGTCAGCCCAGACTCCTGGAACTCAATGGAAATAATGTCCCCGACTCCTCCCAGAGACTCATCCCTGAGACTCTGACAGAGGACATGAGTCCAGCCCTTGCGCAGCCCTGGAACCCCTCTGTTTCCCCACCTCCCACACAGTTTTGCAAACCACCCCTTCTTTCCCCCATGCTAATTTTTTATCCTCTAAGTCCCATAAGCTCCTTCTAGGAAAAAGAAAAAACAAACACAGAAGAGAATGAAAATAAGTTTCCTAGATATTGCTATCATCAAGTATGGGACCAGAGTGCAAACAATGTGGCTATTTCTGTCACAGCACAAGATCTCTTTTGCCCTCCACATGTTTTTTGTTGGCACATCAGTCTTGGAACACAGGTGTCCTCAGACAGAGGTGGCTGTCAAGGCTTGATTTGGGGACCGAGAGTATTTATAACCCTTTCTGCCATGGGTCTCAAGATGGGCCATGGGGAAAGGCTTCACTCACCCACAGATGCACATGGTGCACCTCGGCCAGACACACAGCCAGACGGGCCCCTATCTCCGACTCATCTCCCCTTCACCTCCTCCCCCAGCCTCCTCATGTCTCACGTGGATAGACAATGTGACAACCCCATCACTCAGCCCGCTTCCTCAGTCTCCCACCTTTCTCTCCAGGCTACCCTCCCCACTGATGTCTCAGGGAGATTTCTAAACACCACTCCGCTTCCCTGGTTAGGTTACCCCCTGTTTAAAAATTTCAGTGCCTTGCTGTTGCCTTCAAAATAAAGCCTAGTGTGACCCTTACTAAGTGTGAGAGGGCTACCTAGAGTTGGCATGTAACTTGCATCCTGAGAATGAATAGAAATTCAGGAGGCAACACTGAGTGGGGAAGTGAGCCCAGGTAGACAGAACACCAGGAAAAGGACAGAGTGGCTTAGAATCATAGGATTTTGCAAAATAAATGATCTTCATGCAAAATTCAAATAAATAAATAGATAGATAAATAAATATCTAAACTCCTGAGTAGCACAATAAACTACTCAGAGTTCCCAAAATACACTATGCTGTCAAATCTCAGGGTCTTTGCATATGCCTGGAATGCTTTAGAATGCTTTCACCCTCCTTCACCTGGGGAACTCCTACTGATACTTCCTCCAGGCAACTCTCCCTGACTATCTACCCCACCCCTTATGAGTTAGTTGTCCCTCCTTTCTGTTCCCTTACTACTTTTGTGAGTGCCTCTGTCATAGCAATGATACATTGAGTAGAAATTGTCTTATTTACCCACTTTCTCCCCAATGGACTGAAGATATATTGTACATAGAAATATGCCATTTATCTCTATAACCCCAGTAAACTGTCTGGCACATAGAGGTACTCAGAAATTATTTACTGAATGAAGACACTCAAAGCATGGAGGGCAGACAGATATCGTAAACCTGCAATGAAGTATGATAAATAACAGAGTGGGGTGCAGTTGCTACTGAACAGAGAGACTGGACACCTCTGCTTGGGTAGGTGTAGGGCTGAGGAAGGTGCCCCAGAGGAGGAGATGCTTGGGCTGACCTTGAGAAAGGTCAGGAGATCAGGCCCATAGAGAGGAGAAAGCAATAAGAACAGTGGTATGTAGAAGAACCTGGATGTATTTAGGAAGATTTCCCTTAGAAGAAGGATTCTGGTGACAATGAGGAGAAGAGATTGGTGGGAGAGTTTCAGGAGAATATTGGAATGATCCACATAAAGGCCTGAGCTGAGCTAGTTAGCAATGGGATATGTGTGAGGACAGGGACAGATGCAGAGAAGTTGAGAAAACAGGAGTCCGACGTGACCCCCAGGTCTCTGGCTTGGATGGGCAGTGCCTTAGCCAGCATTGGAAGGAAAGAGAAGAGCTGCCTTGGGAGGAAGGCAGTAAGCCCAGTCTGCTGCTATTGAGCTGGAGTGGCCTGGTGGACAGGCAGGTGAAGATGTTTAGTAATCAACTGGATGTGTGAGTCTGAAGCTCAGAAGAGATTTCAGCCAGGAATGAAGACTCTCTCTCTATATATATATGTAACTTCATTGGAACCTCCATTTTACTTTTTCAATTTAATACTGTGCCATGAGGTTTCAGTCATGGGTGAGGGCTACTGGGGAAGGGATAATTGGTCCCACTTCTGCCTCTGGCTTAGAGACGTGGCCTCTGGAGAGCCATTCAACCTCAGGTTATGCCTGTTGCATCACAAGAAAGAAGACAATTGAGGAAACTTGAAGTAAGGTGCTGGCTCTAAAACAAATTAATGTAGTCCTGTCTTCCTGGTCCTTCTGTGCAATGTGAAGGTCTTGCCAGTGAGGCCAACCTCTTCCACTGCCCGAAAACCACACCACCTTTGGCAATCGAGCAGGCAAAGGGAAGTCTTCATCTTGATTACATTGGAACACTTACCCCTTAGACAATCCTCTTTAGGTAGAAATGCCACTTCCTTGCTACAGCAAACATGTTTGTTCTTTCCCCTCACTTTGGGGTCTTGTTTTAATGCCCTCTCGCTACTGTCACGGCAACCTTTTGTTCCTTTTCTTGCCCAGCCTGCAGCATCCACTTGATAATATTAACACTGAGCTACAGAGAGTTTTTCTGCAATTCTGTTTGCAGTACAGAATTTAAGCTGAGGTCTGCTCTGTTTAAGGGACCCAAGTAAAACAGCATTTTTGCAAAGCAGCTCTTTGTGTTTTTTTCCTGTTTAATTTGTCTTAAGTTACTTGCACTGAAGTGAAGCATTTTTTAATTCAGAGGTTCCTAACAGTAATGGTACCATGGGAGTTAGATGATATGCTCATGGTTTTATTTGATGATGTGCTCTTTTATTCCAAATACTTATTCCCAAAGGCTAAAAGGGAATTGCTTATAGAACCCAAGTATTTCTGATAATTCAGGAAGGGTTGGTATTTAACCAAACAGCTTCTGGCGATCAGGTGTGAGCATGGCAGAGATGTAGCCAAGGCATCAGTCGTGTGGGGAGAGTGGAGGATCTCATTTTTAATTCAAGGGACTGTGATAGCAAACTCATCATCAAAACTGAATATCAATTAACCACTGTTTACAAAGAAGGCAATATCACAATAGCACCCAGGGAAATTTAAGTGATGCGTAACAAAAATTCTCAGGGAAGCACAAAAGCCAATCATTTCATCCAACATGCTGAATTAGATGCTGCACTAAGCCAAAAGCTGGCAGTATGTTCAATGAAAAGCTCTTAAAATATTTACTTTTGCATCCAAAGCAAAGGTGCCAGGTTATTTTGAATAGTGGTATCAAATATATTCCCTAATTTTTTTAAAAAATGCTAAGTATGAAGAAAAAACAAATATTTAAGGTGATGAATATCCCAAGTACATTGATTTGATCTGTACAAATTATATGAATGTATTAAATTACCACACTGAAACCCTGAAAAATGTACATCTATTATGCATCAATTTAAAAAATTATGCTTAAAAATTCTAAGTAGCTAACAGTCTCTGCCCATATAGGCTAAATATAAGTGATATATCGCCCCAACCTTCATGGTCTGATATTTTCATTTCTGTAACGGTAAATAAAGCTTGGGGTCAGATTAGGGATGCAGCCAGGGATTAGCCTGTTCTAAGAAGCAGCAGGCTACAAGCGAACAGTTCAGATGCTCTTAGGAAACTGGTAACCTGGGGATGCTTTTTTCAATCTGCTGGAAATGCAATTTGAGTAAAACCATCTTTGACTAACTTAATTTTTCTTTAATTAACAGGTAGGAGATCAAATCATTGAAATCAATGGGGAAAGCACAAGGGACATGACACACGCCAGAGCAATAGAACTCATCAAATCTGGAGGAAGAAGAGTGAGGCTGCTGCTGAAGCGGGGCACAGGACAGGTCCCAGAGTATGGTGCGTTTCACATTTCGATTCTCCCTTTTTCTGTTTCTCCTGTGTACCATAAATGCCTATGCTTATTTATAAAACTACATCAGTTCTCTATTTCTACCTACATATATATTTAGCTATCAATAGGTGTGTATATATATATACGCACACATATGTATATTTAAGCCCAAGAAATCTATGTGTGTGAGCTGTTTCTTTTGCTCCCTCCATTAGGGAATGTTTAGATATCAAATGTAGGACCTTTCAGGGCATCTCTGAGTGTGCACGGAGATCCAGCACCACTTGTACATCAGAACTTTTGCAATTTGGCAGTTCCTCTGTTCATTTGAGTCCACAGTAACTTATCAATTCTCTCTGAAAACTGCTTGTGCATCAGACTATCCCATAGGACTTGTAACTGGGACCAGGGGAAAAGCAAGAACAAATCTTCGGGGTGTGAAGTTTACAATGTAAACTGCAGTTTGTGCAATGGGTGCATTTCCTTTGCATTTAGGAATTATTCCAAAAATTCACTCCTATGTTGTGTTTCTGTATGCTTTCCAGGAAGGCTTTAGAGTGCATTTTAATTCACGGATTTGCCTTCAAAAATCTTTAAAGTTATTTCCCAGCGGTCCATTACAGACACCACTGACAGCATAGTTCTAGTGTATCAGAAACAGCTAGGTGGTCATTACACAAAAAAACATCAAAACCTGAGCTGGTTTTTAAAAACAATCTCAGGGAGTGACAGAGAGACAAAGACAGACAGGCAGGCAGACAGGCATCAGTGAAGACTAGTGCAGAGGATACCTGTTCATATCAGGGAAATGGGATCGAACTGCTAACCTGAAAAATGAGCTCAAATTATTGATCTAGATAAATTGTTGATCTAGATAAATCACTTTCATCCCTCTGTCTCCTATCAAAAAACTTCTAAAGAGTACTTTTTCCGTTCAAATTATGCTTTTTGCATACATCGTCTAAATAACTAACATCTCCTTATTTAGCAGGGCAGATCCATGTCCTGAGTTCAGTTGAAATATCTGACTTTGAAGGCTCTTACATAGATTATGTTTCCAGTGTCTTGTACCCACCCTCCGCCAAGACCTACAAAAGAGCTAGCAAGCCCTCACAGTGAGTCTGAAAGCATTCGGAAGTTTCCATGCCTAAGGAAATATTACATCCCAGGTTCCCAGGCTTAATCCTCAGAGCTAATAAAATATTTTTTAAATATTAATGTTAGCAATAAGCACAGGCCTGATTCTGCTAAATGGTACCAGCATTAATGCCTTTGTAAAGAATCTGAACTCTTGGAACAGAATATTTTTTTACACCTTAGAGTATTGACTGATTTAGTAATATCGAAGTGACTATCACTTCTAAAACATACCACAATTTAACAGTATATATTTCACTCCACGGTAAGACCTATTAGCTATACCAAGAAATTTTCATGGAGGTTATACTGTTCTTATTGTTCTAACAAGTTAATCTTTAAAAAGTTAATCTGACCAATGTGACTATCCTGAACTTTTCATCCTTTCGTAGAATCATTAATTGGTCCATACTTAATTGGTCAGCAGCCACTACACCAGCTGCTTGTCTACAGTTAGCAGTTAGAACAGTGCTACTGACCAACTAGTGGCATCACTCAGACTGTAATGCCTAAGTATGAAGCTGTCTCAAATCATCCTGAAGAAAAAATAAAAACATGTTTTTGAGCAAGACAAAAAAATTCAAGATCATGGCAACATTATTTTAATAATTCTTAATATCATCCAAAAATATCTGGTTAAGGTTAAATTCTCAAATTAACCAACACACAGAGAGATTTTTAATATATGGGCATCCTTTTGAGGGGCCAGTCATCAATATTGTTAACTATGCCAGTGTTGCAAAATTTCTTCTAATATATTCTAAAATGTAACATAAAATCATTCTTGCTGGTAATGTTAGAGCTTGCCAGCTGCTTTTGATATTAGGTTGACATGGATTTTGATTGTAAAATAACTTTAGAGAAAGAATTTAATGGCAAAGAGCAGTCTCCTTTAGGGAAGGAAAAGAATAGTCATAAACTGAGTAAATGTTGCTTCTTCGGGAAAATCTAAGCTGAAAGGGGCCTGGTTATGCGTGAGAAACCAAGAAGATTAAATAGAGATCACATCAGCATCTTTGAGGATAATGTCACCAAGTTGTATTTCTGGAAATTCACAGCGACCAGTTGGGTGGGGAGGTGGGATTCAGGAGTCCCCAAGACCACCCCTACATTCAGAGATTTTCTAGAAGGGCCCATAGGGCACAGCATATGGTTGTGTTCACAGCTACGATTTATTACAGCAGCGTAGTAAAGATACACGGCAGGATCACAAGGGAAAAAGACAAGGCAGTGTCCGGAGGAATCCACATGCAGATTCCTTATGCTCTCTCCCCCACGAAGAGTCACCCAGAGCACACTCCCCCACCCAGCAACAAAAAATGCAGCAGCATCTGTGTGATGTTGCTGCTCAGGAAAATCCACTAGAGACAGAGCGCCCAGGGTTTTTACTGGGACTGGTGGTGCAGGTAGCCTCTGCCTAGCACATACCAAAATTCCAGACTCCCAGAAGGAAAGCAGGTGTTCAGCACAAGCCACACAGTTCTTTGTCCAGATGCACCCTAATCATAGGTTTCTTTTGTTTGCCTTTTAAAATCCTAGCATTGGCATAAAATCCATCCTTAAAAGATTGTTAAAAAGGATTATCAGAATCCATAGGAAACATACTTAACCTGATAGGGAACTGATCAGGCTTAACCCAGCCTGGGAAAGAGTGAACTTCGAAGATGAGGAGGCTAGAAAACAACTGCCTGTGGAAGGGTTGTAAAGTGGCATCCACAGAGGGTGCTCTGACCCCTCTCTGGTTCAGAATTCAGAACTGCTTTGAAGTGAAACCCTTATCTGGACTTCCGGACACAGCAAGGAAAAGCTGGTCTCGGTCAAGAGAAATACAGAACTCTCTCTCTGAGTTCTTCAAGTGATCTGTGACAGAGAGATAAGCACAGGTGCAAGAAAAAAAAACCCCGGGCAATCTGTCAGATCATTGACTAACAAAGTCAGTGTGAATCCAAGTGGGCTGAGGAAAGGGATGAACATGCTGCAAATACGCCATCCTCAATTACCAAAAGGCTAATCGTCAGATGACGCCTCAGCCAATTCAGAGGCATAAATCAACAAACGCAGCCGCAGAAGTTGTAGCTACACACAGAGGCTGTGGAGCAGCTGCAAGGGGAGTAGGAAAATGATAAGGGCTTTGAAGAAGTCGCTTTCAGAGTTAAGTTTTTGAAAGAGAAGCTCAGGAGATAGATACTTCAACTCTACTCTAGTCCTCAGGATAAGAATTTGTTGATTATAAACTCAGTGGAAAGTGTTAGTTCCCCCTCCCTTGACACACATCTCAACACTATACTGAGAAAAGAATCAAAAGATGGTGCATAAAAAGTAGTGCCCCCCTTAACACTGGTTATTGCTATTCAAATTAAGTTTGAAAAGGATAGAAGGAAAGGAAGTATGCCTCATGGTTGTAAAACTGCACGGGAATGAATTATACAAATTAGCTCCCTGCCTTGAAATACAGGTGTCCTTCATTAGCATTCAAGGAATACAACTCGAACATAGACTTGATTTATAGCCTGAGCCAGGGCCAGGGCCAAGGTAAACAGAGGTGCCATTGGATAAAAAAAATTCCCAGCATAAGTAGTGCAGACCTAAGTGGAGCATTTCCCTTGGTAGCATTCGCTGTTCAAAGTTGATCAGAATAAAGCAAAACAGAAACATGCTTTTCAGTCTTGGTTGGTGCTCCGGCCTGTTTATGCTCTTAAAAAAGCAACAGGGCAGGTCTTTATGAATAGCACAGTGAAGAGTGTTCTATTGTAAATGAAAGTCTCAGTGGTCTCAGGAGGCCCAGGCAGGGTTAAAAAGGATGAAGCAGAATTCTCACAATATAAATGACCTGGCGACAGCTAACACCAAATGCCCACATAACAGGGAAGACATAGCCAATCAGTGAATTACGCTTCTGCCTACACTTCCATTTTCAAAAGTAATTGTATCTTTAATAGGGTTTGACTTGATTACAGGCATTTGGTAAATGAAATTGTTTATGTTTTATAAGTATAATAAAACTGTGCTGAGTAGTGGAAAAACAGATCTCTCTAAGGCAGTGACTATAGCTAAAGAAATGAATGGGCCAAATAGTTGTTTAGTTAAAAGTCTTCCTTTAATCAGTGAATCAAAATGACTTCCAACAATCATATTGGAGCACCAGATTAAGCAGTACTGGTCTCTATTTAGATGGCAATAAGTAATGTTTATTTGTTTATTCTTCTTTAAGAATATGCATTGCCAAGTAAACATTAGAAGTGTACCCTTATCATCGTGATTTGCTCAGCTTGTCTTTCTTCCCTCTAATCATACAAAGATAAACTACAGACAATATACGCCTACCAAATATTCCATATGGAACAAATTCTGTGACTGATATTGTTAATATAATTAATATTTTCGCAACTAAAACAGGATTTACTGAGCACCTACTATGTGCAAGACACTCTGTAGGTACTTGATGGTAAAATATAATCCTGGTCCTCAGTCAGCTGACACTCTAATAATGAAGATACACGTAACAATTGTTTCTGACAGAGTGGTAACTGATAAAAAGGTCTCAAAGGATCTGCTCTCATTAAAAAATTAAAATGGATTCTGTTAATTATTTGTAGACTTTAATAAGTACTTCTAAAGTGTTAAGGATACTTGAAGAGCACTTGACTTCTTCAGTTTGTTAAGTATTTCCTTTATATTATTTATACTGATAATTTGTACTTCTTCTGAAGAAAGGACCTGTTAAATACGGGTATCTCTGCTTGGACCTAGTCTGAAGTATTCTGAATTCCATGTTAGTGAGCCAAATCTTCTGTGAAATTTGCTCATCATTGCTCGTCCCCTCCTGTGGCTCTCAGCCCCCTCTGGAGCCTGGCGCAGCATCACCTCA